GTAAACTAGTTCAAACCTACCGGAAGACTTTCACTGCGGCGTCGTGAAATGTGATCCAGCAGATATCATACACTGCGAAGCTGCCAACCGGACTAGGACCACGGACAACAAAATAAAGTTTACCTTCGCTCGCGTGAACGTGGTTTGCTTATTCCCGAGTAATGTTTGCGCGAGCGTACTCTAGGAACTGCGCGTATATGCGCGAACTGCGTTTGATACGCTGAGCCCAATCAGCCCAATTTGAAGTACACCACACTACACCGTCATCCTCTTACCGACCGTTTCCTTCTTCTCTATTCGCACGACTTATTTGTACGAAAAAACGAACAGGTTTAAACTTGTATCACGTTCCCATATAAATGTAATAACCCGAGGAGCATTTATCGAAAGCCTATGTACGCTCTGAAATGTTTGTTTGTTAAGTGCAACAAACGGTTGAGAGTGCCTCAAGTACGTGACTTGTGTAGGTATTCTGACAGTGAACTTTCATTCAAGAATGTGCATAAAAACTGGATACCTTCGGATGGTGAAACCATGTGCAGTCATTTCTTCAATTTCGCAACGCCAACGCACCAAGAAGCCGTTGAAGCACCACAACATTGTGAATGCTTTCATTCTACTTATATGACCCAAGTCCGGTCCGTGCTAAGTTGCAGTAGGACCGCAGACGGTCCCTTTTCCAAGCTGAAGGCAGAAATCCTTCGACGTAGCGCTGTATTTAACAGGTAGCGTTACAACCAGTCGATCATTGCGGACTCATTAGGTGACTGCACTTCTAAGAACTTATCAGACGAGCACGTTTCCTCCTTTAAGAAATGCACATCGATAACAAATGCTCAAAGCAGATGGTTCCAGAGCGTCTACCACCCGCTATTCAAACAACTTGTGTATCCGGATCCCAAGCTATAACGCTCCCACAGCTGACAGAATTGGCGGACCGGATAAGAGAGGCGCAACTGACTCAGCCACTCTCCATTGCACAGATCAAAACACGTTCCTTGTCGACAGCGAACGAATTGTTGATAGAGCAAATGTCAGCCATGGTGGGCGAGATGAAAATTCAGCTTGCATCCAGCCGTCCTCATTCTCGCTGGCGACATAGAACCACCGAAATGTGTTAGAAGCCGTCTCGAGCGACTTGCTCGCATACCTTGCAACTGGATCTGCCGAAATTCGATACGCGTTTTGAAGCGAAAGCTGCTACCAGGAAAAGGCCCTGTACGATGCCAGTCCGATGACAGCCAGGAAGCCCGACGAGTTGTCATCCACCTGATTGGCCCGCTTGAAGACCAACCTTTTACATTATCTTACATATCGTGCATGCCTCAATACAGTACGCTGTTATCATACGGCAAAATAAAAGTTAATTCAGCCACCTTTGCTGTTCTCAATTCGAGATGCGGCCGAGGTGCTCTTGGGTGGCAACACTTCGGATATGTGGCGGGGCAATAGCCCTTGACCACATACATACTCTAATCAAAATGCAGCTCCTTAAA